ATTAGCTTCGATACAACCACCACGATGCTTGGCTTCAATGCCAGCGACACGCTCGACAACAAGATGTTTGAGCGAAGCAATGCCAGGGACTCGAAGCATCAGCAGCTGGGCCGCATGACGGAGAGCGAATTCAGCCAGATGCGTGTCTACAATGTGGGCGTGCTGATGGCCTCACACTTGGGTAAGTCACTAAGCTGGGCGCCTGCTGGTCATTCGATTGATTCGACAATGCACGGCCCACTGCAGATTCCCCATTCGATTTGGAACGCTGCGGACCGGCCGTGGACCTGGCCTTGGATCAAATAAACAAAGTCTTTCTGCGACCCCACAACATTACGCTGCTGAAAAAGAAGGCCAGGTGAGTGGACAGTGGCTGTCCATGGTCCTACCTACCACTTTTCTACCCCTCCGTCTGCAGTTATCCATCCTGCTCGGGCGCCCGTGCACCCGGACTGGCGGCAGACATGCACTTTCAGGACGACGTCATCGCCTTCATTGGACCAGCCTGTGCATTCGCCCTCGAGCCGGTGGCTCGTCTGGCCGCCTACTGGAACACCCCCATCATCACAGGCATGGGGGATCAGGTATGCGTAAGACAACGCCAGGCAATGCCGGACTGTAGCGTGTGGAGCGCGCACAGCACGCCGCTTTCAATAATGCGGAACTGGCTTAGTCCTCAGTCCTCAGTCCCCCCCAGTCCCATTCCCATTCCCATTCCAGTTTGAGGCAATCACATTTAGTCCTCTTAATTGTCGTACTCTTGACATTGGCAATTAAATGGGTTCGGGGCTTCCCGGCCATCGCTCAATGGGTCTTTAATTTGAATTTAAGTTTTGCTCTGCCATTTCCCTCCTTCCTGCTGCGCCAGCCACCTTCCTCGGAGGGTGAGCTGACGGTGACGTCTGGCATCCTGGGCAGAATACACAAGTGGAAGAACGAGAATACGGTAAGTGGATGAGGGTCCCAAGATCCGCGTGTTCCCTGCCATGGCAGAGTTTTATATTCGCTGTAGAACTTCCAGGGAATGTTCAAGGACAAGTCCAAGTATCCCACGCTCACGCGCATGTCCTACTGCCAGTGCAGGCTCATCCTGGTCTTTGCCAGCGTCTTTCGGCAGTTCAATTGGAAGCATGTGGCCCTGCTGGTGGACAGATCGGAGCTCTTCTCGTGGACCGTGGGCAAGAATCTCGAGTATGGCCTCAGGCAGGAGGGTTTGCTGAGCTTTGTCCGCGAACTAAATGGCAACGAGGAGGAGATTTATGAGAACTATCTAAGGGATGCCAGCATGTATGCCAGAGGTAGCTAATCTTCAAGCCGATTTTGCTCACAATTGATTGATCTTCCTCTCCGCTCAGTCGTCATATTATCGGTTCGTGGGGTTCTGGTGCGAAAGTTCATGCTGGCGGCCCACAGCCTGGGCATGACCAATGGCGAGTGGGTCTTCCTGGACGTGGAGATATTCCAGAGCGACTACTGGGGCGACAAGGGCTGGGAGCTGAAGGACGAGCACGATGCCCGTGCCCGCAAGGCATACGAGGCCCTGCTGCGAGTGAGTCTGCTGCAGCCGACGAGTCCCAAGTTCCAGGACTTTGCGGACAATGTCCGCGAGAATGCGCTCTACGACTACAACTACACTTTCGGCGAGGGCGAGGAGGTGAACTTCTTCATTGGCGCCTTCTACGATGGCGTCTACCTGCTGGGCATGGCCCTGAACGAAACGCTGACCGAAGGCGGCGACATCCGGGACGGGGTGAACATAACGCGACGCATGTGGAATCGCACCTTCGAGGGCATAACCGGACACGTGCGCATCGATGACAATGGCGATCGGGATGCGGATTACTCGATCTTGGACTTGGATCCCATCAATGGCAAATTTTCAGTCGTTGCACATTATTCCGGTGTACACAAGTGAGGACGAAGGGGACTTATCTTTTCGATGTACTCGAAACTTTTTCATTTTTGCAGGGAATATGCTGCGGTGCATGGCAAGAAGATCCACTGGCCGGGCGGAAGGGAGGAGCCGCCGCCGGATGTGCCGCCCTGTGGCTTTCTGGGCAATTCCCCAGACTGTCATGACAATGGTATGGCCCCAGTCCTTGTGCAGCGTTTTACTTCTGATTAATCTCTCCCCTTGCAGAGTCCACCATTATGTACTCCATATTTGGATTGTTCCTCTTCCTGGGTCTCGTTTTTCTCGTGATTTGCCTGCTGCAAAAGTAAGACTCTAATCTCCATTGGCCCGTCTGTCGTAGCCTATAGCGATCTCCCCTTTTTTCTGGCAGGCAAATGAAGCTGAGCAAGGAGCTGAACAACATGTCCTGGCGCGTAAGACCTGACGATGTGCTCATCGAAATGGGCGGCATGTTCGGCTCCAAGGGCGGCTTGCAGCGCCTGGATGTGGAGAACATTTCGCTGCAGCAGTTTGGCATCCATTCCGGTCGCGCCTCCATAGCCAGCTTCACGTCGCTGCCGCCTCAGGTGTACACCACGATTGGCCAGTTCAAGGGCGAGCGCGTGGCCATCAAGAAGGTGAACGTGAAGAAGGTGGAGCTGACGCCGCAGCTGCTGTGGGAGATCAAGCAAGCGCGCGATGTGAGCCACGAGAACACGGTGCGGTTCGTGGGCGCCTGCATTGATCTGCCCCGTCCCACGGTGCTCATTCTCACGGAGTATTGCTCGCGCGGCAGCCTGAAGGATGTGCTGGAGAACGAGGCCATCGAGCTGGACTGGAACTTTCGCATGTCCCTCATCCACGACATTGTCAAGGGCATGAGCTATCTGCACAACAGCGATGTGGCGGCACATGGCAAGCTGCGTTCCTGCAACTGCCTTATCGACGGTCGGTTTGTGCTCAAAATATCGGACTTTGGTCTGGCCACACTAACCACACCATCGGACTTTGTGCGAGATCAGAATTACTATTTGAGTGAGTGCATTCCATAGCTTGCCCTTTCTCCCTCTTGAGCATGCTATCCCTGCCATTCCAGAGCTCCTCTGGATCGCACCGGAACTGCTGCCTCTGACCTCCATTCCTGGCTGCTGTCCGGCCACGCAACGCGGCGATGTCTACTCGTTTGGCATTATTCTGGAGGAGATTGTGAACCGTGGCGGCCCCTACCAGGAGGCGCGACAGCAAATGGACGTGCACACCATCCTGCACAAGGTGCGGCAGTGCAATGGATTTCGGCCGCTCATCAGGGAGCGAGAGTGTCCACCGGATCTGCTGGAGCTCATGGAAAAGTGCTGGGCGGACAACCAGGAGGAGCGGCCCGCCTTCTCCACGATCCGCAGCAACATACGCACCATCATGAAGTGAGTATCCAGCAGAGCAGCCAATATCCAAGTTAAATCTTAATCCGCATTGCAGGGGCTTCTGCGAGAATCTGATGGATGATCTGCTGAATCGCATGGAGCAGTATGCCAACAATCTGGAGAGCCTCGTGGAGGAGAAAACGCGCCAGCTGAGCCTCGAGAAGCAGCGCACGGAGGAGCTGCTGTACCAGATACTGCCGCGACCCGTGGCCCAGCAGCTGATGGCCGGGGATCTGGTGGAGCCGGAGGAGTTCAGCAGCGTCACCATTTACTTCAGCGACATTGTGGGCTTCACGGAGCTGTGCGCCCGCAGCAGCCCCATGGATGTGGTCAACTTCCTGAACGATCTTTACAGCACCTTTGACCGGATCATCGGTTTCTATGATGTCTATAAAGTGGAGACAATTGGCGACGCCTACCTGGTGGTGTCCGGGCTGCCCGAGCCCAATGGAGACAAGCACGCTCGGGAGATCGCCCTGATGGCCCTGGACATACTGCAGGCCGTCAGCTCCTTCAACCTGAGGCACAAGCCGGAGTACAAGATCCAGATTCGTATTGGCATGCACTCGGGTTCCGTCTGTGCTGGCGTTGTGGGCAAGAAGATGCCCCACTACTGTCTGTTCGGGGACACCGTGAACACAGCCTCGCGCATGGAGAGCACCGGCCAGCCCGGCAAGATCCACGTGTCATCCGCCACCAAAGCGATTCTGGACAAGTTCGGTACCTTCCAGATGGAGCAGCGCGGCGATGTGGAACTCAAGGGCAAGGGCACAATGACCACATACTGGCTGAATAGCACCAGCGAGGCGGATGCTCGCCCTCCGACACCACAAATCCTGAGCACCGACGAAGTACCATTCCCTCTGCTATTTGCAGGCATGGGCAAGTGAAGCTGGCCACATCCATAATCTATGATCTCCAATGTATCAGTATTATCTACATTTTATCTGCAAATAAAATAAACAAAAGTACAAAGCACTCTCAAAGAAGAAGTTGTGGTGTGGAACGCAATTAACAGCACTCTCTCTTACGATCCACTTGGCTATTACCTGTGGATAACAGCGCTGCTCTCTCTTACGATCCATTCGCTTTGACTTGAGTAAAGTGGATCGTAAGAGAGCACTGTTATCCACATTTAATATTTAATTGAGTCGTTTCCATAGTTTCGAGACTTTATCCTTTCGAAACTTTGTGAAAGTCCTTGCTGTAACCATTTGAAAAGCTCTAGCAAATGTTTCTACCCTGCAATCTGTAACCAGGACAAGTAATCTAAACAAACAACCCCCAGAAAACTCAATGCCATCAGCTGTTCGTTCGGGCTGCAGGAGGCTGAGCTTTCCCTGTGGGTTGGTGGATGGTTGAGTGGGTTGGAAATATGTATTTGCGCAGAGTCGAGGAAAACGGAATTGTCACAAAAACAAAATTTGATAAAAAGAGGAATAGACCGAAAGTTACTAAAGCGGAAGAACGAAGAAAATTTAATTTAAAAATGTGCGACCAGCATCCGGAGGAGCTTTAGCTCAAGGACGTTCGTTTCGCTGGCAGTCATGTAGATGCAGGAGGTGTCTACACCCATGCAGGAGCACCCGAACACACACACACACACACACACAAGCATAGAGATAGAATAAATAGTGAACCGCGTAGCGTAGCAACCGCACAACCTGTAGCCAGCAAGTCCGAGAATGAAGGTGCTGCGACTGCGAATGGCAAAGCTAATGCTGCTGGGCGTCCTCCTGGTCAATCTGATATTCCTGTACTACACTTGGAACACGCTACTGTGGCGCCGCATCAGCCGTGTGCTGGCTGGTGGCGATGAGTCGGAGCCAAAGGCACCCAAGCTGACGCCCAAGGAGAAGGTGCGCAACGCCAACAAGCACATAAGGAAGAGCATCACCATCGTCTTCTACGGACACTACAACTTTGAGCAGGATCTGCGGGCGAGCATTGACAGCATACTGGATGTGATACCCAATATGCCCATACTGGTGCTCCAGGAGGGCGGCAGCGAGTACGCCTATCCGCCGCTGAACTACGAAAGAAATCTCACCGCTGGCGAGGATCAGACTGTGACCTTCCTGAGTCTGGCCTTTGATGTGCGACGCACGCGACAGGAACTCGATCCGCTGGCCGCCATTCACACCAAGTACGCCCTCCTCATGCCCGACAGTGTGCGGCTGAACAGCAAGAATCTGCTCCAGAAGATCCTCCGCGAGATCAACACCATCGGCGTGGCTGGGGCACAGGCGCAGGCACAGCCCAAGGAGCAGCGTGTGGCCGTTCCCCCGGAGGAGATGGTGCGCCGCATGGTGCTGGTGCCCTTTGCGGGGAATCTTAAGTCCTACAGCAGCTGCGCTCGCATGAGAATGGATCTGCCCAACTGGACGCTCGAGATAGTGGCCACAAATGATAGTCGGCGCTGCGATTTGGTGGGTATTACTTGCAGCTACTGCTGATCCATGCACTGACATTGGTTCTGTGTTTCCTTTAGTTTCTGCAAAAGCACGCGATCCTGTTGGATGTGGCAGCGCTGGCGGCAATGCCCGAACCTTTCTCCCTGCCATTTCCAGAGATGCTGTACATGCAGGCAAAGATTGCCAATTTGTCGGTGAGTAAACCCGTTCAACACTTACCAATTCTACTTTGTGTTGATTGTCGTTGCAGACCACCGTCTTTGCACATGCCTTCCAGGAGGGCAGGCGCCTCTTTGCCTCGTTCCACACCAAGCAGCGACGCATGGATCTGCGCCGTCGCCAGTTCAAGGAGATGTACAAGCGGCTGCAGATCAAGCGAATCGTGCGCAGGGCTTACACGTTGCTCGGCAAGCCGCCGTCCAGAGAGAACAGCTGGCAGCTGCACCAAGGCGTGCTGGATGCACAGTTTTCCAGCTCGAATGTGTCGCTGCCGCTGGTCACGGACATCGATCTGTTTGGCTGCGAGCGCACCACAAAGTCCTGCATCGGCACCGTGTACAACAATCGGCCGTTCTACTCGTATCTGGACAAGCACACGCCGCCCTGCTGCCTGGACAAGCTGCGTACGACCTTCAACCATGTGCTGGAGGAGTTCGAGAACGTGGGCATACGCTACTGGCTGGACAACAATGCGCTGAAGAGCGCTGTGGAGACGAATGCCATCTCACCGGATGCCTACGACATTGACATCAGCTTCAATGTCCAGGACCTGGAGCGCTCCAATGCCATGAAGAAGTCACAGAGCAAGCCGTATGTGGACAACGAAGGCTTCTACTGGATCAAGGCCACCGATGGACACTACTTTCGCGTGCAATTCTCGAAGCCCAACCAGGTGGGCGTCAATCTGCTGCCCTACGAGATCAAAGGCGCTGAGGTGCGGGCCAGCGGCTTCTTTGGCTGGAAGGCAAGCACCTTTGCGGCTGACTTTCTACATCCCATGTCCACGGTGCTGTTTCTCGGCAAGAGCGTCATGTGCCCCAACAATGTGCTCGAGTATCTCGAGGCCAAGCACATCAAAGTGCAGTCCCAAGACCTGGCCATGGATGATTAGAGAATAACTCCCTGTACTCTAGTCTAGTCACAATTTAGTTGAGGCTTAGCATAGATCATGGCTGAAGGCCGAAAACTTTCACATGGATTTGATTAACGATTTATGTTCAAGTTTTTATATCTCTATTGTACAATTTTTGTGATGTTTTTGTATTGTTTCAGATGTTCCTTTCAGTTGGTTGTTAGCTAATTTGGGTATGATCTTTGGTAGATCTTTGCATAGAACGTAAAACTAACTTAAGTCTTTCGTACTACGAATATTTTTAAAACCAACACAAAACTCTCTATACTTGAACTATTTTAAAGTGAAAATATACAATCAGAATCGACGCGAGACCCGGATTTGCAGGGAGAATTAAGCCACACAAAGTGCTGGCCGTGTGGGGCAAAGTGGTAACTCCCCTGGACATAAAAGGCAGATGTTGAAGATGTTCAAGACTGCGAGAGACGCAATCCTCAATGGAGAACATCGGAGACTGCTTGGTTTTGCTTTACAATTGGCATAAATTTACTTTTAAATAAACTTTTATTATACTTGCACTTCGATCGCTGGTTGTGCATTATAATTACAATAATAGCTGGATTAAACCATGTACCACTTGGCTGAAACTACAAGGTTTGCTGCCGCAGGCATTTCACATATCGCACTGGAAGTTCTGGCAGATAAACGGCCACCAAGAACATTGCCGGACCGAATAATATCATGCACAACAGCCAGTAGAGCAAGCCGATAAATGTAATGGTGTCCATATAGAATAAACGAGGATCGAAGGTTGCTTAGATGAATGTTTTGTGTGTATAATTGTAAATTAATAACTAATATCACTAAGAGTCCGTTGTCTCTGTGCGAGCACTTGTATGCCTGTAGAGGTGCACGCTCCGATGTTTTTTAATTGATTAACAGAATTCTTAAGCTGCAGGTCACTTTAGATGATGATGGCTTATCCAACGTATTGGCCAACGTATGGGCTTCAGGCGCGCCACCTAAAAATAAAGAATAAATTAGCTATTGGTCGAATTGTAAGCTTTATTTTGCGGCTCCTACAGCGTGCTGTTTCCTGCCCTGTTTGACGTTAACTGGTCCAGTTTGTACCCCACAAAGTTGTACATTTTAGGTGGCAAATCAACATTTTCAGCTGTTACTGATGCCCGTACACCCCGCAAAACCAACAAGTTCAGAGTTTCACTTCACGACTCAGAACTTTGAGCCAGAAGCGTGACTGCTGATATTCAAACCTCATACAATGTTCAATGCAAAGCCAGATCTGTGACAACACAAAGACCAGCCAGAAAACGTTAAGCGATTGTGTTTTAATTTCAATTTCAATTGAACATTTTGATGGTTCATTGCGCCACACAATGGCAGGCATTGAACGTTTATCAGTGGTCCAAAAAATGGCATTGCAATGGGTATATAATGTAAATAAGAATAAAGCTATGTACAAGCAGTGAGACGTGGAAGGGAAAAGATAAAGCAAATGAGTGTGGAGTACTTTTATAACAGCCCTGGAAAGCCCTATAAGTGTCTAAGAAGTTTCTCGCACATCTAAGAACTCTTCAACTGCGGAAATTAAAACACTCTTTGCATACGCCAAAACTTACATGATATAAAAATAATTATCGCTGTCCTTGCGCTTGGCATTGCAGTGATTTGGATTTGGATTGGACGAGGAACTGCTCTCCGTGTGCTGGCTGCTGCAGTTCCAGTTACGGCCCCAGCGATTGGGTGTGACATTCTGCCCAGTCTGCTGCTGATGATTTGCGAGATTGTTGTCCTTGTTGGAGCCAGCGAAGAATGACTTTACGCTATCCATGATGCGACTCTCTGTTGCTTCCTTTTTGTGGATCGCTTGGAAGTGTTTGTATATGTCGAGCCTCCGCAGAAACAGTCGAAAAATGATAAAGCTAAAAATACACACGCATAAACAACACCATTAATTATTTATTTTGACTGAAATCTTGTTTTTTTTTTAGTGGGCTGGCTCGTGGTGCGACTCTGCCAGCGCTGTCTCCAAGCGTTTGGTATTCAATTGTTTGTTTTATTTTTTCGGGTGTCGTACGATCTAAATTGATTAAATTTATGATGCAGCTGAACAACAAGTTGGGGCTTGATAAGATTTAAATCAAACATTTAAAGTAACCATTTTGTGGGTACACAATTTGTGACTGTCTGTTCACTGTTTTTTATAGCAAACACAACGAAAAAATAAAAAACATTTTAATAGGCTGTTCAAACAAAGTTCGATAAAATGGGAAACATTAAGCGGAAAGTGCGTCTTAACTTAAATTCGAGCCGTAGCTAGTAGCTACATCTACATACACACATAAATACATACATATGTAGATATGTACGTATTTGTCTATGCATACTTATAGTGTCGATCGGTACATATTATCAATTAGCAGTTCAAAACAGTTCACTGGCGGCACTGATAGCCTTATCAAGAGTGCCCAAAATGGCAGACACACGCGGAATCCATGGGAAATGGTTTGCTTGGTCAGCTAAATAGTTATTGGGTTAGTTGAATGGGGCAAGATTACTGAATGGATGTCCATGGAGACGAGACTGATAAAGACGAGGTCAAGGCATTTATGGGCTATCAGCAGACCTACCTCACACACTCAATTGCCGATAAAAACTTGTGGCTAGCTGGATCTTTGACTTCGATTTCAATTGCTTTGACACTAGATCGCCCTGGACTTTACTGCCAGCTGAGAAACTAAAGCACACCTCGAATGGAACCAACTACACGACAGCGAACCGCTTTGCACAACGTCTGAATAAATTGTGCCGTGTGCCGCTTCGATTCGACTGATAAGTTCATTTCTAAAATTTCAGTGCTGCCGCTTGTTTGCTTTGGTGATCAGCTGCTGCGAGATTTTCTAGTTTGTTGTGATCGTTGTTTCGTTGTAGTATGCACGTATGTAAATGTACATAAGCACTAATCTTTTGGTTAACTTTACATGGCCATCCTACGACATGTATGAAAAACACCTTGTAACAAAACTTCCGTCTTGCCGCATTTTGTTCGCACACTCAAGATCACCTTTTTGTGAGCTCTCTGTCTCTCTCTTTGGCTTTTTTTGTGATCTGCATGCATTGATAGGAATCACACATACATCCATAGGTGTTCACACACAATTTTAATAATTTATTGCTTGTGGACTTTAAACTTTCGTATGTATGTACATATGTATATTACATCTGATGAATCTATGTAAATTCCACTACTGTGGATGCTAAGTGCACACCCTACACAATTGCACACACTGATTTTAATAGAAATTCAATCAAAACCATTCACTGACCTAATAAACCTAATAATTAAATATTTGCATATATTTTATGTATGGATCTGTTATCAAAACAAAGTTAGCGGCAGATATACATATGTACATAAATGGAAATCGATTGGTGTTAATAAAAATACCAAATATTGACATGATCGATACACATTGGAAACACGGAATACCAAAACAGATGGCGCAAAAACTCAAAGCTTATTACATCTTCGTGGCCATCAATGTAAATTCTGTTAAAATTTAAATCATTTCGCTTGGTATCGTTGTCAGTGTAAACTTCTCACCACACCCTTTGTTTGCCTGTTAATAAGTGAGCTGGACTGTTGCATTTTAGCACCATTAATACCAAAAAATTGTCAACAAGAACGGGAATAGCAAGCAATTTTGGGTTCCCTGGACAGGCTGTGTAAATAAAAGGACGGTGCCTGGGCTCAGCCATCAGCAGTTGCTTCCAAAAATTCTCAGATCGACAACAGATTAAGATGCGTCTGAATATTCTCGCGCTCATGGGCGTAATCTGTCTGGCCTTCGCCTTTGGTCAGGATCGGGCGGATCTTCTGGATTTGGCTGATCAAGGATCCGTCCATGCCGTCAACGGCAATCGCGAGGTTCGCAATCATCATTATGATTCTCATCATGATCCTCATTATGATCCTGATCATGGTCATTATAGTCATCATTATGAGCATCATGATAGCCATCATGATCCCCATCATCATTATGGCCACTAAGGTCGATAGTGGCGTACCGCTTTCACACACTCACATATATTTGTCATAAAAGAAAGCATATTCTTTAATAAAAATAAAGTTTGGACTTAATACTACAGCGTTAGAGGATTAGTTTGGGGCAGATAGGGCCTACGGACTGTTGCAGCAGACTGAATGCATTTGAATACTGCTGCACTCATCCAACGAGGCAAAGGAACTGCTACAAGATTGAATCAATATTTGGGTTCTTGACTTTCTATTTGTGTTTAATATTTCAAACATATGTATATGTGATTTTTATGAATTTATTTCAAAAGTCTTCACTGGGTCATTCAACTTCCAGTATTTTACACAAAAAAGGTATAAAGTATGTAAAATAAATATATCGATATACATATATTGCTGAATCTAATTTTGTGTTGACCTCTTCTGTATCAGCCTTATTACATCAACAATTCAGTAAAATACGCTCAAATGTAGAAAAACAATTCATCAAGTGGATAAAATTATAGTCTTAGCGCTCAAAGTCCTAACTAGCTGGTAATATTGAACAGAAGATCAAAGCTTGAGGAAAACGATTTTGGATTTGCGGTACATTTACGGTATATTTTGAAGACGCAATGGTATATTTTGGTTTATTTACGAGGCCCTGAAGGTATATTTTATCGATAACTGTCTTTACGAATTTCCGACGTACGTGCACGCACGGGCATTAATTTTTTTAAAACGTGAATTCAGCAACAAATCAACTAAAATGGCTTTCGGTGATGTCAAGACCCCACAAGGACTGAAGGAGTTGAACAACTTCCTGGCCAACAGCAGCTACATCAGCGGGTAAGCACTCAACACGCGGCGGTAGATTGTGAGGTTATGTAGAAGCCGCACACGTCGGCAATATATTTTTGGGTACAATGACGCTAATTTAATTTGTTTTCCGACACAGCTACACACCCAGCAAGGCCGATTTGTCTGTTTTCGATGCCCTGGGCAAGGCTCCAGCTGGAGATTACGCCCACGTTGCACGTTGGTACCGCCACATTGGCTCCTTTGAGGCTGGAGAGCGCTCCGCATGGACTGGCGCTCCCCTGCCCCAGCTGGCTGGTGGCAAACCCACAGTAGCTGCTCCGGCCAAGCCAGCTGCTGACGACGATGACGATGTCGATCTATTCGGCTCCGACGAGGAGGAGGACGCTGAGGCCGAGCGCATCAAGCAGGAGCGTGTAGCTGCCTACGCCGCCAAGAAATCAAAGAAGCCCGCCCTTATTGCCAAGTCGTCGGTGCTGCTCGATGTCAAGCCATGGGATGATGAGACCGACATGAAGGAGATGGAGAACAATGTCCGCACCATCGTTATGGACGGTCTGCTGTGGGGCGCATCCAAACTGGTGCCCGTCGGCTATGGCATCAACAAGCTGCAGATCATGTGCGTCATTGAGGACGAGAAGGTGTCCATCGATCTGCTGCAGGAGAAGATTGAGGAGTTCGAGGACTTTGTGCAGTCTGTCGATATTGCTGCCTTCAACAAGATCTAAACAGAGATTCTTACTGTTTTGAATAAATCCAAGCAAAAGCAAAGCAACAAAAAGCTCCGTGTTTGCATTAGTATGTGTGGGTTGTCTCTCTTGACGCGAAGCTCTCTCTGCCTAGTTCTCAGCGTGAGTCTTTCGTTTGTACGCGACTCGGACTACAAAACTGTGAAGCGCAGTGCGCTGGAAGCTCACTTGTCCGTTAATCGCGAAAGCCTTCGTTCGTTCCTCTTTATTGTGCTATATACAGTTGAAACAAATATATTTCGGACAACTGCTAATAATGGCTGCCAACAAATTGTGCTGCACTTTGGCTTTTGGCGCTTTACTGTGCCTGGGACTGGTCGCTCTCATTCAAGCGCAGGGTGAGTCAAATATATACTTCTGTATGCGGAATCGTATCACATTGCGAGAGATGAGCTTCTATTGTGGTTATTTTTTTGTTGCCCATTAAGTGAAGTTTTGCTCTGGTCGTCTCGGGTGCTGGCTTCGTGCATTTCATTAACATTAATTAGCAATTGTATGAACATTTGTATCTTTTGTTCTGCGCCAAGACATGTTTCGTTCTTAGAGGTATTTCCCTCAGCTCCATCTGCATGCACATGTCATGGAAATCACTTTGTATTTGCATACGACAAGTATCTGAATGTTGACAAATGTTCGTAAATACTTTGCGGATTGAATTCGTATGCGAGTCTAGCGCATCCATCATTGGATTAGCAGCGAGACGAGCTGGGCCGGGCCATTGACTGCGTTGCCATTGAAATTACTTCCGATTTGTATATCCCCATTACATTAGACGGAAATTAATTCATTTGTTGAATGTCTTAATAATTGCAACGTGTGGTCTTGTACAATTATTCCAGGGTGAGCTCATTGGATTGATTGCATAAGTAGCTGATTAAATCACTGCGGACTTTCCATGAAAAAGGATGTACAATGTTTCAATGGAATGCTCACCAAATTATTGGGTGCCAACGGATACGCGAATTGCTTTAATGCAATTTAGCAAATAATTACTTGGCTCGGAACAACCTGAACGATGTGACAATATGCAATATGTTCCCGGTCGTTGTGTGCGTGTGTGTTATCTCCAGTGGCTTGGAAATTCCCAATTGATTTCGATTAGGTTGAATTTCTGAATTCCATCTTGAATTTTGACCCAATTTGTACGACTCTCAAGACTATACATTTTGCATGGAGTTCAGTGAACCCAGAAAAGAGATTACGTGGGTGGAAATAGAGACAATTGATGGGCTGTTCGTGCAGAGTACTTGGAACCTCCTCCGCTTTCGTGGAAATATAATTAATCAAATTGCAAGAGCAACAGGTTCTGGTCTTGATAACACCGAAATAAATTGACTCATCTTCGCCTACGGGCTTGGACCGTGTTGATGTTGCCTCAATGTTGCCATTGAAAGTTGCAAAACTAGTTCGGCAGAGGCTGAAACTGGAGGGAGGGCTGTAGCTTTGTGTCTCAGGTTCATGGGCGTACAGCCGTTGGAATTACTTTGTTTATTCACGTTCTTTCAATAATTTGTTCAATATATTTTTGAAATTTTATGAGTCTGAAATGCGAACGATCTTGGTTCAAAAACATTCCCAAGCATCGCACATTACGGAATGCCCTGAATAAAGCGATGACATGGGCGGGTAAAAATGTGAGCACCAACTCGAGTTTTGTTTTGTTTACGTGGTTCCCGTTGCCGCTAATCGCGTGCTTGATCTCTAACTAATTCGCTTGCTCTGCTCTCTGGCCCCCGCATACAGATAAGCCGGTGACGGATGTGTGCCTGGGCTGCATTTGCGAGGCCATCAGCGGATGTAATCAGACACGATTCTGCGGCGCCGGCGTCTGCGGCCTGTTTCGCATCACCTGGGCCTACTGGTCGGACGGTGGCAAGCTGACCTTGGGCAACGAGAGCCCCCAGTCGGAGGATGGTGAGCTAAGCCTGTTCGACGTTGTCGTTCTTCCACTTACACAACTTGTTTTGTACTCCCATCCAGCGTATGCCAACTGCGTGAACGATCCCTACTGCGCGGCCAACACCATCCAGAACTACATGACCAAGTTTGGACAGGACTGCAACAAGGATGGGGGCATCGACTGCTATGACTACGCTGCCATCCACAAGTTGGGCGGCTATGGCTGCGGTGGCGAGCTTTCCTATCAGTATCAAACCAGTCTGCAGAGCTGCCTGAACTCGTTCCAGCAACTGGACGTTCGCTCCGGCCCTTGAACGCTTAAGCCTCAAACAATTAACGATAACTAATATTTAAAATAATAATTTATGGCAATGCATTTGAATTGGAGTTAGATTGTGTAATTGAGATTGATATTAAAACGATATTATGGTAAAGCAAGACGTAATTCAGTTTTTACTTATAATTTTTGCTCATCAACAGCAGATTTGAATAACCGTTGACAGCACTGGCGACAAACAGCGGTAATAATTGCAAGCTGCTAGTCACATTACTCACGAACTCGACGGCAGGTGTCGCTGTAGTTACTAGTTTCTGCTGTAGCTTCCATGAAGCCGATTTCAATGCGAATTCCCATGCAGCTGTCTGGCACTTTGTAGCCTCTTCCAAGACAAATTTTCGTTGCACATTTGTGCTTGTTAAACGTTAAAAACCTCTCTGACGAGGCTGAGTGGTAAAAGCTCCACTTAAATTGTTTAGTTTTATATTTCATAGTACTTCAAAGTTAAGAGCGCCTTAACAGCTCGCTGGAGAACAGCTCTGTTAAAGAGCTGATAACTTAACAGTGGTAAGCGCTGTTAAATGCTGCACCGAAAAACTTTTTAGATCAATGTTTAATGGATAATTTGCGGTTAAAAATATATTATTTTAAGTACTTCTGCTGCATTGAACTGTAGCTTACGTGTGGCAGTTTTCATTGGGAATTCCAATGCAACTGCCAGTAGGCAGATATTCGATTTGTGGCCCTAAAAACCGGTACTGCTGGGAGATTCCCGGCAACCTAGAGAGCTGCAGCTCGCATTTGCTCGAACCATTTGTGATTTGGATGCGGAACCGTCCGATTAGAGGACACGGGAATGGGTTTTGTTGCGGAATATTTGCTATGCTTGCTCCTCGCAGTGTCGTCTTCGTGGGTGCAGAGTGAAGGTGAGTTCCACTCAGCCCTAAATCTGTCTACTTTATGCTCTAAAAATTACATTTAAGTTGACGTGCTGGACAAGCCCGTTACGGAGCTGTGCCTGACCTGCATCTGCGAGGCAATCAGCGGCTGCAATGCCACAAGGATCTGCACGAACCCGGAGAAGGGCGCCTGTGGCATTTTTCGCATCACTTGGGCCTACTGGGTGGACGCCGGCAAGCTGACACTCGACGGGGAGCATCCCGACGCGGAGCGCGCGTTCATCAACTGCGCCAACGATCCGCACTGCGCCGCCAATGTGGTGCAGAATTACATGAAGAAATTCAATCAGGACTGCAACGAGGATGGAGAGATGGACTGCCACGACTATGCGCGGATACACAAGCTGGGTGCCTACGGGTGTCAGGCGGACATGCCGTACAACTATCAGATCAGCTTCGAGGAGTGCATTAAGAACTATGAAGGGTATCAGGGTATCGAGTGAACACAGAGATTGTTAGTGCATGAAATAAATATCACTGGGGATCATTTCCTGCTACGCCGCCCATTGACTGCTTTTTATTGAACTCGTTCTCGGCCAATAAAGATCTGTAGTCAGTGCTGCGAGCGATCAGTGGCTGAATGGTCGTGCAACGCATTGAATCGGCAGTGAAAAATGTACTACAAGCTGACAATACTTTTAACGCTGGGCCTGGGCCTTGTCCTCGTGCAATCGGAGAGCCCCAAACCCATCACGGAGACATGTTTGCTGTGCATGTGTGAGGCACTGAGCGGCTGCAATGCGACGGCTGTGTGCGTGAATGGAGCCTGTGGCATCTTTAGGATTACCTGGGATCAGTGGGTGGATGCGGGCAGACTGACAGTGCCCGGCGACACACCACTCTCGGACAGCGGTGAGTGTTCGATCGATCCGTGGCGAGTGATTCAATCCACAATCCACAATCCACAATCTACTCCCCGCAGCGTTTACCAGCTGCGCCAACGATCCGCACTGTGGGGCGGACACTCTCCAGAACTACATGGTAAAGTACGGCCAGGATTGCAACGATGATCAGCAGGAGGATTGCTACGATTATGGAGCCATACACTACATGGGTCCATTCAACTGCAAGGCCGATATGCCCTACAACTACGAGAACATCTTCAAGCGGTGTCTGCGACGTGCGCAAAGGGAACAGCAGTCCACAGACTAAGCTGAAAATTAGTTTGTAGCTCATAGTTTATAGTACTTAACGTGTAAATAAACAACAATTGTTATGCAGTTGATATGCACAGATCAGCAAGTCAGTTGTGCGGCAAACACGGCAACGTTAGGTCAAGTTCTCGGCTGGCACTTCAATCGGAGGCTTCAAAAATGTTGAACAGCCTCAAGTTACTCATCAGCGTGTGGCTGCTGCTGCTGCTGCACTGTGTGTCCGGTGATGAGGGTAAGACACGGAAATGATTACAAACTAGAAACAATTATCTATGGTAATCTATTCGGGCGGGTGCCTCGCTGTAAGCTAAAACCGGATCGGTGCATTAAACATTTACTCATTGGCAGTGGAAAACAAACCCGTCACGGAAGACTGCCTGGAGTGCCTCTGTGAGACAATGAGTGGCTGCAATGCCACCGAGATCTGTGTGAATGGTGCATGTGGCATCTTTCGCATCACCGAGGGCTACTGGGCAGAGGCGGGACAGCTGACGCTGCCCAACGAGACGCCACTGTCCGCGCATGGTAAGTCCTTCGGCTGTTTCCACACCCGCAGTCAGCGTATCCTCCTGCAGCCTTCACCAATTGCGTCAATCAGCCCCACTGTGCGGCGAACACCATCCAGCATTACATGCACAAGCATGGGCAGGACTGCAATGGGGATGAGCACATCGATTGCCTGGACTTTGGGGCACTACACAAGCTGGGCAACCTGCAGTGCCGCGGGGAGCTGCCCTACATATTCGCGAAGGTGTTCAATCGCTGCCTGAAGGCCAAGCAGCGGAATGCCTCAGAGAGCCGCAATCAGACCCTCAATCGGGTGAAGAACAAATCAACATAATTGATTCTTTAATGTTTTGCATTGCTTGTCTTTTGCCGCTTGAACAGTTTCCAATAGTTATTGCTTTGGGAGATACATATATTAGATAGAGTTATTGGGTATATGGGGGTATGGGGGTATGGGTAATACAATACTTTACACTTAGAATTGGTTTAGTCAACAAGTAGTTAGTTGTTATACATTGCTTCTTGGCTCACTTTTTGCTATAGCTTGGCTCTAACATTCGCAAGTTTGTTGCTCTAACACTGGTCATTGTTTTGTTTATGGTTTGAATTATTTTTGGGGGGCTATCATCGTTAATCCTTTCATGCATTATTCTTCATTAGTAGCTGGTAAAAACTATTATTTGGAAAGTGGAAAGTTTAAAGTTATTCTCTCTTCTCTTTTATCTCCCATCTGTAGTCTGTTCTAGTCGATATTTTTGTTCAACAACCTGCAAGTTGATGCGATTAATGCGATTAATGGGTTCGGGCGCTGTGGCAAATGTTTAACGAAAGGCAGCGATGATTTGTGTAATTGCCAAGGGGCAGTTCTGCTCCATCTTACGCGCTTATCATAGCTCTAGACGTCGAAGAGCCATGAAAGTTCACAGTGAACGCTGCCAAAATGATGGCAAGTAACTGAAAGTAGATCGAGGCTGAGGAAAGTATTTTAGAGATTGGCGATTTCTCTTCCATCTGCTGCACAAATGCTGCCAAAAAGCACGTCAATTATTCTCCTTCAAATACAATCAAGCTCGATATCTATCTGGGATAGCTATGGAATGGCTTGTGTATGTCCGATCTGTTCTGTTCTGTTCTGTTCTGATTTGATATCCTAAACTATATTTGACTCATTCGGTTGATGGGCTTAAGTCTAGAATTGCAACTGGAAATATGCGTTTGTTCTTTTGCCAAACACTTCGGGGCTTCACTTCTTGATGTCGTTGGCCAGGAGCAGCTCCTTGGCCTCCTTCTTGCCGCGCTTCTTCTCCTCCTTGGCGTGCAGCTTGGCCAAGCGTTCCTCCTCCTTGGCCAGTCGCTTCTCCTCCTGCAAGAATGAGCAAAAATGGTTTGGCCATGCGAATGATTTGTTGGCAATAACTTTGCTTGCATGCACTGGGGCGAAGTGCAACGAAGCAATCGGAATTATGAGCAGCAGCAAACAGTTTGGAAATTTATGCACAAAAGACGCTTCGCTCCACCCCTCAGCACTCTTCTGCATATCCTTTTGCTCCACCCACGCGATTAATGAAGAACTTTGGCAAAGTAACCACACAAAAACAAAGAAAGGAAAAGGGGAACGAGGCCAATTACAAACAATGCACTGGCAAGAACTGCCAAAGCGGGGTCAGGGGTCGAACAATGAATCTCCGGAACAATGCAGAGCAGAAAGAGCGCCAAAGGATGTGGACTGGGATGCTGGGATGCTGGGACTCACTCACCTTCCTGGCCTCCTTCTCTGCCTTCAGCTTGAGCTTCTCCTCCTTCTTCTTGCGCTCCACGGACTCGTTCTTTTTATTGTCAGCCCTTTCTCCTGCCAAACCAATTGGAAAAGGATTAATCTCCGACGGAGCTCTCACTATGAGAAACTTACTCTGGTTGCTGCCGGCGGCGAAGAGCGGAAAGCTGCGACTGGAAGAGCTCGAAGAAACTTGACACTTGGAGGCGGCTGTCCCTCCATCCAGCGAAGGTGTCCCAGCCTTGGATGTGCTGGGAGTCGCTGGCTTCATTGGCCCAGCAGCAGCTGCAGCAGCTGCAGCAGCACCACCAGCCTTGCCAGCTGCTGGCGTGACTGGCAGCTTCTTGTCTTTGGGCATCACGTAGGCGCTCTTGGGCAGCGCATTCTTAGCGGTCAGGGGGCATATCTTGGCGCCACCCGCCTTGAGTGGTGGCGGTGCCAGGGTGGTGCAGCTCAGCTGAATGTTCATGGGACTGGGACGACGTGGTGCAGGCGGTGAGCCGCCCTCCCGCAGCAGTGGGGCCAGCTCGTGGGTGCTGGACTTTGTGTAGGAGGCATAGCTGGAAGCAAGTGGCTGCGATTAGTGGCTGAAGGATCCACCGAGGGAAGGACACTCACCGAAACCTGGGATTGCTGACGTGCACCGGCGAGGGATGTGGCACCTTGGCCGGACTGCGAAACTCCTTGATGGGCGGCAGGCGGTTCTGTATGTCCAGCAGACGATTCTTCACATGCCTCCGACCCGGATATGTGTGCATGGGCGTCATGCTGCCACTGCCACCGCTGCCCCCGCTGCCACCGCTGCTCCCACTCCCACTCGAAGAGGATGCGGATGCGGATGTGGATGTGGTGCTGTTGCTCAGCGTTTGGCTCAGCGGCTTGCGCGGCACGGCGCCCGAGCAGCCGCTGGGGCAGCCGCCGTGATGCGAGTGACTTGCAGTGTCGCGCGGGGAGAGGGAGCTGCCCGAGGAGCCAGAGGGCGTGGGGGATGTGGACGCCTGCTGCGGATCCCTGTGCTGCTGATGATGATGATGATGATGGTGGTGGTGGGTGGCGGGCGATGGCGGTGCCAGGTGATGGGAGCTGGAGGCCGCCGCCGAGGCTGGGGAGCAGGGGCCGCTGCTCGATATGGAAGACGTCTTGGAGTAGTGCGAGTAGCCGGAGAGCGAGGATCCCGCCGATCCCGTCGAGCTCATCGAGTAGAGGCTATCCGACTGGGACACCACACGGCCGCGTGTGCCACGCACCTGGCCCTGATGCTGCCGCCCCCCTGTCGCCGTGTGCGCCTTGTGCAGCGTCGGCTGATGGTGGAACGTGTGGTGTCCGCTGTGCGCATCGTTCATGGAATAGGAGCTGGCGGAGGCCACCACCCCGCCGGCGGCCACGCCCGCCGAGGCCCAGCTCTTGGCGCCCATCGAGTAGCTGCTGGCCGACTCCTGTATGCGCCACGTGCCGGAGGAGGAGGTCAGCCGGTTCACCCTCGCTCTACAGATCACGCAGCGCAGCGGCAACAGCCGCTGGGCCACCGCACTCTGAATGGTCTTCACGAAGCAGCGACGACAGACGACGCGGTGGCCGCAGGGCGAGGTCTGCATGGTGGCCCTGGCATTGATGCAAATCACACACTCATCCTCCTGCGACGTGGGTGGATCCGGTTCGCTTTCCTCCTCCAACTTGCTCAGCAATTTGTCCTGCAAAAGATGCGATTGAGATTTATCATACGCTTTCCTACAAGTATGCTAGAGATTTGCTTTGCATTTGATCGATTTTCTGGAAGCTGCAAAGTAGGTGGCACAAAATCATCGAAGAGCTGCCCAGAGCGCTGGAAAATCATGTGATTTAGGCCACAAACTCCAACAACTTTGCCACCAATCTACCCTCATCCAACACTCCACTGAATGGGCATAATTAATTGATCAAACAGCCGACATGTTCCACCCTCGACCCATAAAGGAAATATTTTAGCGACTGCAATCTTTGTGTGAATTTCCAACTCTTTGTCTACGCCCTCTGAGCTCAGGCTGGGTGTACATATATTTCATTGATTATACTTATATTT